TTTCACACACTTGAAGCTCGAGCCTTGAAGACTGTTCTTTGAAAGAATGGTTGTTGACGTGAACAAAGGCTCAGGCCTACCTCTGGAAGCAATCCCACTGTTGCTCTTTTAACCCCAGGGGCCAGAACCCACCATTATCTCCCAACATGACAATACTTAGACACTGGTCTGTAGTGCCACTAGCCTCTAAAATCATATCCCTCTCAGGGTTTTGTTCATCAGACTCTACAAAGTAGTGCATCCATATCTTGGACCACCTTCCTACAGTGCCCAGCTTCCCACAAATGCTAGAAAATTTGTAAACTTCATTTTTTTTTAATTTCAGATCAAGGTCTCATGAGTGCAAGTGTTGCACTACCTAACACTTAGGAAGTGAAACTTTTTATATGTGATTGCTTGAAGCTCATGAGAAGACTCAGGAATATATTTTTTTAAAAAAATTTTAAAAGTTTTAGAAATATCATGATTCACATTTCAGCTAGGAAACTAAGATATACATCTACTTGAGAAGTTAGCATAAGGAAAATGACCTTCTACTCCCAGAAACCAAAGAAGATAGGAAGAATAATTTCAACCCTCCTGTTACTCAGTAATACAAAGATGCAGAGTCCAGATAAGCCTTTGCATTAATATAAATTCAATATAGAATAGAAAATAAGACAAAGTACACAAAATCATCCATTTGCAAGTACTGTAAATTGAAGCTGCACCACAGAAAATTCTGGAAAAAAAAAATGCAAAGCCAGCTGAAATACTACAAAGATTCTCCAACTGTCTTAAACTCATACACATAAGCCAAATGAAGTTCATTCATTATTTTGATCTGTTTTCTTTACATTGAGATTAAAAGTGAAGACCTGGCCCAAGATAGGCAAGGGAAGGGAAGACAATAATTAATGTATAGGATTTTTATGTGGATTTTGGTAAGAATTCACATGATGCCACCTTGAGAGATTATTAACCATGACCTTTCATCTTTTACAAAACAGGCCTGCTTTTTCTTAAATGTCACCTCCTTTGCAATGGCTGTGAGACAGTTGTTTTCCTTTCAACTTTCATATGCTACCCACCGAAGCTGCATAAAGGACTGAGACAGTACCGCATCTCAACCTTTAAAGCAGGGCAACATA